GGGCAGAGAAAGGCCCGGAGCAGGATTGGTCCTGCGTGAAGAAAGGCCGCTCAGGGAGGCCAGGTGCGGCGAGCGCTGGCTGGAGACTCGCTTTCCGGGAGGGCGGGCGCAGGCCGCCAAGCCCCGGAGGTCAGCCGGGGAAAGGCTGCGTCTTCACCCGGAGGCCAGGGGGCACCTCTGAGCTGGCAGCATAGCTCCGAGGGCTTAAGGGCGGGAAGAGAAAGGCTCTTAGGCGGCCGACAGCGCGGCGAGAGCAGGGAGCCGACAGTGTCCACAGACCTTTCTGGCTGCCACGAGAGGAGCTGCCACTGGCATCTAGTGGGCACAGAGCAGGGTGCTGCTGACACAACTTAAAATACACAGGCGGCCCCCAACCAAGACTTAGCCGAGCCCCGTGTCAGGGGAACGACGGGGAGGGCCCGCCCTAACTTTAAGAATGGACTCTTAGATGCTGGGGTGTGGCAAGGGGGGCACCCCAAGGCTTCTGCGAGGGAATGAGTGGGGCAGGGCCAGGGCCGCAGGGGAGAAGCAAAGATCCGGAGTAACCCGGGAGGCGATGGAGCAGGCAGGAGTTCTGCTCTGGGGACCACAGTGCCCGCGCGCCTGGCAGCTTCTCACGCCGCCCCAAGAACCCGCCCCAAGAACCGGGGGGCTGCAGAAGCAAGCGGCGCACATTTCAGGCGGCCGGCTCCCTGGACTCCGAAAGCGCTGCGGGTTTCGCTATAAGCAGCCCCGCGCCGCCTCCCGTGACCCGGCCAGGCCAGCCAGTGCGGGCGCAGGGAGGGGTTCACCCTGCCCAGCTCTGGGAAGCGGCAGCCAGCCCCGCCTGACACCTCCTAGAAAGAGTCCCGTGGTCCTTACAGTCCGCACCGACCCCCCCCCCCCGCGCCCCACCCGCGAGGCCGGGGGCCCTGGTGTCGGTCCTGCCCCGCCGTCCCCTCATCTGCTGCCGCCCTCAGTGGGGGGGCGCACCTGCGGCAGGGCACCGCACCCCGGGGGTGGCAGGGACGAAGAAGCCCAGGGGAGCGGGAGAGGGGCTCACCCCCACTGCCGCCCCTCAGGCCCTGCCCGGGGCTCTGAAACGCAGCAGCGCGAGTGGAGGAGACAGAGCCTCTGCCCCGCGGAGGCCGGACAGCGAAGGGAAAACCACCTGCTGGCCCCGAAGCACCGAGGCCGCAGTCCCCAGGCCCACGGGGAAGAAGCGTGGGGGCCGCGCGGGCCCCACACAGCCTGGCCGCCGTCCACCTCGTTTTGGAGGGTCCTGACAAGAGCCCTCGCTGGGCGCCCCTGTAGGCCAGGCCCTCGCTGGCCTGAGCCTGGGTCTGCTCCTTTGCCCGACCCTCCTCAGCTGGCTTCCTTTTATGGAGAAACCTGAAGTAACTGGAGATTCTCTGCAGGCCAGCCTCAGGCCGCGTCCGGCTGCATTCTCTGCAGGGGCCCTGCGGTCCTGGTGCCCACGCCCAGGGGGAGCCAGCGTGAAGCCCCTCAAGGCGCCAGGGCTGGTGGACCGGAGGGGGAGGCCCCGGCTTAGGGTGTCCCGAGACCTGAGCCCAGGCCCGGCTGCTCAACAGCCCTTCCGGACAGGTGGAGGGAGGGGAGAGGCTGCTTGTCCAGGAGGCAGAGGACAGCCACTGGGCGCCTGGACGGAGACCACAGGGCTTTGAGGCTGGCTCGGGGCTGAGCAGAGTGAGCGCTGCGTCCCCCTCGGGCTGTTTCTACTGCTCCGAGAAAGAGAGGAGGAGCTCTATCAGCCTGCCGGCCCCCATGAGGGTCGGGGGGGGGGGTTAGGTTGGCCCGGGGGGTTGGGGGCCCCCGGTTCCCGTAGTTACGATAAAAGCCACCAGCGCTTGTGCGGCTACAAGCGCGGTTGCCAAGGCGCGGGAGTTGGCCCCGGACATCTGGAAACAGAACCGAAGAGTAAACAGGGAACTGGAGTGGGGCTTCCTGGGCCCAGACCGGGCAGGGCCGCCGAGGCCCCGGCGGCAGGGAGCCCCCACCGCGTCCGGGACATGTGGTGGCCGCCAGGACCCGCCCCGGGACCCCAGTTCTCGAGGGCCACCCCAGTTCTCGAGGGACCGCGAGCCGGTGGAGGCGCAGGGCCCCAGGCCCGCGGGGGTCGGGCGCGCTCGGAGAGGCGCGGGGCGGGCACTGGGGCAAGGTTCCTCCACCCCGCGCCGGCACGGCCCG